ACCATTTGTTAAGAATGATTTCTACTGTGAATCAGGTTTCAGTCATGGGCCACAAAACCGCTTTGCTTTGTCTGATCCTCTTTGGGACAAGAAAAAATGTAGAGGACAAGAAGCACCATGCTGCAACCGCCCTCTTCTCCCTTGGTTTCACAAGCCTATTGGATATACTACTACTGATAACATTGAGATGAGGGTATGCAGTGATGAAGCAATAAATAATGAAAACATTGGAATTGATCAATATGAGTTTTATGTCATGTAGACAAGAAACAAAACAGTTTTGAGTAGAAGTATAGCTAGTTTGGACATTTTAGTTTTAGTAACTTTATAGTTAGTTTAGTCTCTTTTTTGTAGTGAATTTTCATGATAGATTTAATCAAATAATATTAACTTTACATTATTGGGTGCAATGTACTTGCAACTGCATGCAAAATGGTTCAAGTAGCTAATAATAAAGGACTTTTACACAATAAAAGGAGAGTGAGAGACAGGATTTTCTTATAAATTTTGGCATTATGCAGTTAATGAGTTTTTTAAGTTGCTTAAACTAGTTTTTGGCCAGAATTCATCAAAATTGATGAATTTTATAATTTTTGATGTTTTTATGTTGTAGAAAGTTTGAGCAGATTCTGATTGAATTTTGGATTTTTTATGAATTTTTAAAGTTGCTTCATTTTGTCATGGGAACTATAATTCCTCTAATTCTATCATTAATAATTGTTCAGTTTAACATACAATTACCACATAGACAAGAGTACATTAGTACATAATACTGTACATGATGATCTATGCTATGACCATAATTGCTATAAAATATTAAAAGGTTATAAGGAACACACTAGGAAACAAGATGCATAATTATGCATCACAAACAGTCATTTTTGGCCAAATTTGCTGTGCATGCATGGGATATAATTTTGATCATAATCAACCCTGAATCAGTAGTCTGGTAGCCAGTCCCTTGCAAAACTTAGACATACTCTGCAGGACCTGGTTACCAGACTACTCGTAAGTTTCTACATCATTTAAATAGGTGCTCAGTAATTAGTGTTGATTTTTTCATGCTAATTATCATTAATTTATAGCTAGAAACTGTCATTAATTATCAGTATAATTTAAACTTTCAGTATTATTTGTTGCTACTTGAATCATCTTCCATGCATGCATTGCATCCATTAATATTAATCAGTGTTATCTATTTTATCTATTATGAATATTGACTACAAAAGAAAAGAGACTAAAATAACTATAAAGTTGCTAAAATGTCCAAACTAGCTATATATCTATACTTCTACTCAATATATGTTTTTTTTCTTGTCTACATGACATAAAACTCATATTGATCAATTCCAATGTTTTCATCATTTGTATCTTGATCACTGCATACCCTCATCTCAATATTATCAGCAGTAGTAAATCCAATAGACTTGCGAAACCAAGGGAGAAGTATGCGATTGCAGCATGGTGCTTCTTGTTCCCTACATTGCTTCTTGTCCCATAGTGGATCAGACAAAGAAAAGTGGTTTTGTGGCCCATGACTGAAACCAGATTCACAGTAAAAATCATTCCCAACAAATGGTGCTGGCTTGACTGTGGCACCATAATTACAAGGACATCCATAATGAACATTTTTGGTGGACTCAGAAAAACCAGCTGCCAATGACCAGATGTGTTTGCGAGGAGAACCATGTGTGATACTAACTCCATCAACATAAGGTGAGTTAATGCTGGATGACTGGTGATGGTGAAAGGCATCCAAAGTATATTTTTGATATCCTCTGACCCGTCCACATACCATAGAATATGGTACACCTTGTGATGGGATTGATACGGAGTTACAACCAGCTTTATTCTTGGTACATATTCTAGTACCACTTTGTATTACCATGTGAAGTGAAGAAGGACATTTAGCTGAACTTACCATCATATCCAGTTTCCCTAGTCTTGTCCATCCTCCTCCAACGCCACATAATGATCCCATGTCACAGTAGACTTGGATATTACGGTTGTTAATGGTTATGTGATACGTACCTGATTGACTGCTGGGATTGTCTTTCTTGATATCTGCACAAGATGAATACGTCTTCTTGCATGTTGTATAAGAAGATATTGCATCAGTGCAACTCTTGAGTGACTGTATTAGTTGATCGTTGACTTTATCTGAGCAGCTACATGATGACATAAGGCGTACACTCTCCTCAGCTACTTTTTTGTTACGCTTGGCACGAGATTCAATGGCATTGAGAGTATCAATGCAACTCTGGAGGGACTTGAGAATAACTTTTTGGATATTATTTTGGCACACACAGCTTCCTTGTTCAGCTTCTAACTCATTGCCAATGTCCTTTTGTTCCTCCTCTGCCTCCATTTCTTCTTTTAATGGTGCTTCTTGTTGTAGTTCAGTGTCATCGTCTGATGGCTCATCAGGATCTGATTCTTGTATGTTGTAGCCCTTTGGATCTGATTCAAATTGCCCAAATTCTGTTTCCATGCCTAGTGCTGTAAGGATGAACAGAGAGAAGATTCCAACGATTATTTTCATAATGATTTTATGAGTATATTTCTCTATTTGTGCTAGCAATTTCTGCTCTAATTTTATAGTCTAGCCATAAAGAAAATCATGCATCTGTTTGTCTAAATATGTCATAAAACTCACAATAAAATCTGTGATTGTAGAATGACAATACTTTCTGTACATTATTGATTTTGTTTTGATTTCTTTGTGGCCTTTGTGCATCTGTTACTATTTACAGTGGCATAAAATACACTTTGGGAAAGAGAAACAATATTCATACATTTTGTCAACAAAAATCTTCAGCATCAAATTATATGCATGGATTTAAAGATTAGAAAGATGACCATTATTTAATTTTTTATACTAAAAAAAGAGAAATTATATCAAGTTAGCAGAATCAGCAGATCAATACAAGACATTTTATTCAGGCACCTTACTAACGACTAACTAATGACAAAATAGAAAATCCATCATGGTTTTGTGGCCCATGACAAAAACCAGATTCACAGTAGAAATCATTCCCAACAAATGGTGCTGGCTTAACTGTGGCACCATGATTACATGGACATCCTATAAAGGGATTATTTTTGGTGGACTCAGAATGGCCAGCTGCCAATGACCAGATGTGTTTGCGAGGCGAACCATGTGTGATACTAACTTCATCAACATAAGGTGAGTCAATGCTGGATGACTGGTGATGTCAAAAGGCATCCAAAGTATGTTTTCGATATCCTTTGACCCGTCCACACACCATCTAATATGGTACACCTTGTGATGGGATTGATACAGAGTTACAGTCAGCTTTATTCTTGGTACATATTCTATTTCCACTTTGTATTACCATGCAAAGTGAAGAAGGACATTTAGCTGAACTTACCATCATATCCAGTTTCCCTAGTCTGGTCCATCCTCCTCCAACACCACATAATGTTCCCATGTCACAGTAGACTTGAATATTACGGTTGTTAATGGTTATGCGATATGTACTTGATTGACTGCTGGGATTGTCTTTCTTGATATCTGCACAAGACGAATACGTCTTCTTGCATATTGTATAAGCAGATATTGCATTCGTGCAACTCTTGAGTGACTTTAATAGTTGATTGCTGACTTTATTTGAGCAGCCGCTACATGATGACATAAGGAGAACACTCTCCTCAACTAATTTTTTGTTATTTTTAGCACGAGATTCAATGGCATTGAGAGTATCAATGCAGCTTTGGAGTGACTTGAGAATAACTTTTTGAACATTTTTTGGCACACACAGCTTTTTTGTTGAGCATCTAATTTGTTGTGAGTGTCCTCTTGTTCCTCCTCTGCCTCCATTTCTTTTTTCAATGGTGCTTCTTGTTGTAACTCAGTATCATCATCTGATGGCTCATCAGGATCTGATTCTTGCATGTTGTAGCCAAACGGATCAGATTCAAATTGCCCAAATTCTGTTTCCATGCCTAGCACTGTAAGGATGAACAGAGACAAGAATTCCCCGATGATTTTCATAATGATTGTATGAGTACTTTTTCTGATTGTGTTATAGCAATTCATGCTCTAGTTTTATAGTCTAGCCATAGGGGAACTCATGCATGTGTTTGTTTAAATATGTCATAGAACTCACAATAAAATTTGGTCTTTTATTGTAGATTGATTATACTTTTTGTACATTATTGATGTGTCTTAATTTCCTTATGGCCTTTGTGTATCTTTACTGTTTACTGTGGCATAAAATATATTTAAAAAATTTCTGAATATGAAACAATATCCATACATTTTGTCAACAATAGTCTTCAGAATTAGCCAAAATTTTCAATAAGTATATTCCAGGTAAACTACAATTATGTACCCAGATGGAAAGATCAGGAAGATGGCCATTATTTTTTTACTAAAAAAGAGAAGCTACATCAATTGAGTATGCAGAATCAGCAAATTCACTACATGACTAACATTCTAGTCAGACACCTAACTGATGATGAGATAGAATATGCATCAAGGAAAAGAGAGGGAAAAGCAAACAATGAAAGAAAAATAAACAAAGAAAAAAGAGAAAGAAGAAGCAGAACCTAAGAGAGAGAACCCAATATAAACAAGCTATAGCTCAAAGAATCAAAAAATGAACTAATTACATTTTGTATTCTTGTCATTACAGCATGTAGATAATAATGAGCTGTTGTTTGTCTTTGAGAAGGTGTACTCAAAATTTCAATGTGTGTCTTGGGTTAAGAATCCCAACCCCCAACAGGATATATCTGACAGACTTCGTTGATCACAAGGAACAGCTTGCAATTTGTATCTCAGGCCTGAAAAAATGTGGTCAAATTTTATATGGCAACCCACTTAAACCTTATTTGCCTGAATCACTTTTTGCTGATTATAAAAAAGGAATTAACACAACGAATGCATCATTTGCTAAGCTGTTTGCTGATATTTTGGCTGTTGATTTATTAGACTGATGTGTTTTTAAATTGAAATTTAATTGTGGTCATTATGATTATTACAGCTGGGGCACCCCAGATATCACTTTTAATAATAATAATAATAATGATAAAAAGAAACAATTTAGTGTCTATTTTTAGTCATTTAGTAATAATTGTTTTTCATCATTATCTGGTAAAAGTTTACTTAAGCATTTATTTTGATTTTCTTTTTGTTTTGTTGCTGTGTCCACACTTAGTCTTTTGTAATGCTCAAAATAAAAAAGGAGAATCAATCTGTAAGGGTAAATGAACAATCACTTCGGGTGTGCAAGTAACTTACAGTGATAGGGTTGAAAGGCCAGTCATTGTCCATGTCATTGCCTTAGCTCTTTCTGGGTGATCAAGAGAAAATACACCAGCTAAACCAACTACCTATTATGACATTGTAATAATCAAGTAGTACAGAATAGAGCATAAAGAGTTATAAATCTTATTTTTTGCATTAAACTACATGTTTGACAAAAATCACTAATAAAGACAAATTTTTCTATTTTTATAATTTTTTCTGATACATATTTATGTTTTTTTATGTTGTGTAGAGTTGATTCCAATCAAGTTTGGATTTTTTATAAATTTTTAAAAGTTGCTCAAAAATTGAGCAAATGACCAACCAAAGGCTATATAATAGCCTTTGGTCAATGGCCAAATTTTGTCGAAAATGGCTAGGAGAGAATTTTCCATTTTTATAATTTTTTCTGATACATATTAGTGCTCTTATGTTGTGTAGAAAATTTGAGTTGATTTCGATTAAGTTTAGATTTTTTATGAATTTTTAAAATTGCTCAAAAATTGAGCAAATGACCAAAGGCTATAGCCTTTGGTCAATGGCCAAATTTTGTCAAAAATGGCTAGGAGAGAATTTTCCATTTTTATAATTTTTCCTGATACGTATAAGCATTTTTATGTTGTGTAGAAAATTTGAGTTGATTTCGATTAAATTTAGATTTTTTATGAATTTTTAAATTGCTCAAAAATTGGGCAAATGACCAAAGGCTATGGTTAATGGCCAAATTTTGTCAAAAATGGCTAAGAAAGAATTTTCCATTTTAATAATTTTTCCTGATACACATACATGTTCTTATGTTATGTAAAAAAAATTGAGCTGATTTTGATCAAGTTTGGATTTTTTATGAATTTTTGAACTTTCTCCAAATGCCATGAACTGTATTGTAGTGCATGAAACATGCTGTTTAGGGATTAAACCCTGACTTGAGGTGATTACACACTCTTGATTGAATGAATAGGTGTAAAGTAGTCTAGTCATAAGATATTCAAATAAACTGTCTTACAACTTACTGCGAAAATGAGAATTGCAGCATTACAAGACAATGTCAGAATTCCACCACTTATGCCTATAGGTCATTAAATGTAATAAACAATCTATAAAAGTATATTATTATACCTTCAGATATTGGATAAGTTGCTTCCACTGCTGCTTCGTAATATATTGGCATAGATGCAAATGAGAAAGTATAAAATAAAGAATAAGTAATGAACAAGTTGACAGGATTGCTACTGCCCCAGCCATATATAGACAATGCAAACCATAAAACAGAGAGTGTGGTCAAACTCATCAGCACAAGAAGTATAACCTTGAATTTCCTTTGAAACCTGTAGCATTATAAATAATTATAATAATTTAACAATTTGTAAAAATCACAGTATAGAGTATTTGTGCTAAGGCATAGTAGGTACAACCAAGGCCAAGCCACAAAATTTACAATATGCACACATCATGAGACTAAGACTATACTATATCAGTACTATGCAGACACAACTTTTCCTTGTACATGTACCACAAAGCCTTCAAGAAAGGTTTCATAACTTTCAACCAACCTGTCTGCTAATAATCCAGTTATTTGACCACTGATGCTTCCAAGAATTGCTGAAACAGCTCCCATCCAAGACGTGCTCCTTAGAAAACTCCAAATAGAGTCTACCTTTACTTTGTCGTTGAATCCAGAGGAAGGATTTAAAATGACAGACAGTACAGACTGGAAACCACTAAAGAATTGGGAATAACTGAGCTATTAACATATAAACAACTTGCAAAAAAAGAATTAAGAATTATACAAAATTATAAATTTAAATAAAATATAAGCAACTTACAAACTTCCTCCCATTACAATTCCTCCACTTAGTACAAGGACTATGTAGGAATGGTTACGTAGGAGCTCCTTTAATGATTTCATAAAGTCAACTCGTTCTTCTTTAGCTGATACACTAGGAGGAGTAGGTGGGTGAGGAGGGAAATAAATGCTGAAGAATATCGCAATAAATAGACTCATTTCTGCTTGCACTATCAGCATAGTCCTGATGCTGTACTCTTGAGTTAGATACGGATTCATTATAAAGCCCAATGCTACTCCTAGACTTTGAGAAGTCACGGCCACAGCTGTGGCAAATACTCTCTCTTTAGGAGAAAACCATATGGAGCTAATTTTAGGAGGGAGTATCATGACTGGTAGTCCTACATATCCAATCAATATGTGCCCCACATGTATCAGCCAGACCCAGTCTGAAGCATTTGGAGCATAAGGAACAAAGACACGCATTGTACAACCCAGTGCTAATATCCAAGCGCCACTGACGCCGACAACTCGGAGTCCAAATCGTTTCAGACACCACACAAAGGGTATAGTGAAGAGGATGAAGCCTAAAGAACCATATGCTGTATAAAAGTAAAGAAATAAATCTATAATAATCAGTATAAAAATCTAAGTCTGCCTTAATGTAAAATATACGGGTTATAATACATGTAGTATATGTCAAAGTTCCATGGTATTTACTTACATGTAAATGCAAGCTAAATGCATTATAAAAATGGAGAATTCTCTCCTTTTTACCACTTTTTGGTATTACATGTATATCTACAATGTATCCTACAGTTAGGGCCCCATAAAACTCTCACTTGAAACTAACATAATCTACAAAATATCATTAATATTTTTATTAATTAGATCTATAGATCTCTACCTGGTAACAGAGTCACTTCAATGGCAGTTAATCCATATGCTTGCCACGCTTCTATGGCTATTGAACCAAAAGTCGCCCAAGAGACGTTCTGATGAGCAGAGAGTAGAGATATGGCCGTAAGCACATAATATCTCCCAAAGTAAGTCTTGTAATTCTCTTTCCTTTCACTTTCCATTGACTAGACGACAAAGGACTAATGGCGCTTATGGCATGCTTATTAGTCTCGCGTAGCCAGCCTAATGCTTATGGCCACACTCCCGGTCACACCTAGATCTAGACTGATTATGAAGATGCAATTTTAGTCTAATAAGCACCATAATTTGCATCTGCTGCTGTGCAGCGTGATAGAGAATCAGTTGACACGGCAAACCAGATTTTGTCTAGCTGACGTTCAACAGCCTTTGTTACTCCTGGATACCTGTGACCAGCCCCCATGTTCAGTGTAGAGGAACTCAAATCAAAGTACTGCTTGCCAACATCATCAGTGATAACTAGCCCATTACCATGAACAATGCAATTTTGTAGTGAAGGAGAACTAGACTATTTGTAGTAAAAAGTCATGGACTATATACCTTAAGCCTACTATTTTTAGCGTATACTAAATTTAGCTATATTAGCAAGAGAGCTTTAAATCGCTAAATTAAATAGACGCCAAAATAATAATTATTCATTATAATGGTTTATTATTTATTGTTAATTTGGTTAAAAACACTAAAATTAGTAATGCTAAACATGACTTTTGCTGATTTCGCTAAAATTAGTAGATGCAAATAATAGTAGGCTTAAGGTATTCATCTTCTTGGATCAGTAGTAGGATTAGAGGTATAGAAGTCTATACATAAATATTGTAGAGACAGACAGACTAGATCTATGACTAATGTGGGCGGCAGGCCTAATTCAACTTAGGTTTAGTAGCAGACCTTTATTAGCAGACCTTTATTAGCATAGGCAGCCCCTCCCACTTGCAAAATCACTTGTGTTTACACAAAGCTGCTATGTAATTTGCATTTTGTGCTCAATACAAAAATTACTTATTTTGCTTGAAAATTTTTTACGCTTTACTTTAGATTGTCATTGCTATTAGTATAATGAAAAGTCTAGGTTCCGAATGTATACCAATGGCCCAAGAGGTTCGTATTTCACTGACAGTGATTTGCATCAGCATCATTAGGTTACACTTGAACATTATTACTACTGTAAACGTAATTGTTCTTTCAGTCGGGAATTTCTAATGGTTAGGGAAATAAAATGAGCAATCATTATAAAGGAGGAAAGATGATACATTTATTAAAATAATCTCGAAAGTCAAAAGTTGCAATCATAGAATACAAAGTCATCAAGCCATTACAATAAACAAACAATTCTATTACTAAAAGTTACCTTCACAAATAGGACAATAAAGTAACATAAAAGGGCAAGTTGCGCATAGCTTTACATTTGTTGATAGAAAAGCTTTGAGAATAGAAGAATTGATTGCCTCAGCTCATTGTTGAAGTAAGTAGTATCTTAAAATTTTTATGCTATGATTAATTGATATAGTATCAAAGTAATATAATGAACATAAGAGGCAAGCATATTCTGTTATGCTTATCCATTGCTGTAGCTGCCCACGTGTCCAATTTGACTAACAACTACAACACTGGTATTGGTATGTTTTGTAGACATAATATTAATAGCTGTTTTGATATATTCACTAGAACCTACTGATAACAAAGGATTCACAGATTGTTGTAAGTGATTGTATGTAATATTTATTTTTTACATTAATTTTTTCATTAGCTATTTCTCATAACTTTGGTGAAATGACAAATGCAACCACTTCCCCCACACCATTAATACCTGGTCGGAACTATCACATAACAGCAACAGTGACTATAAGTATGTGATACAAAATTAACATTGGCATAATTATCAATTACTTTTTAAGAAAAACCAATTCAATGGGCTATCCTGCATTTCATTGTGAAACGTAAATTTAAGAACTATGCTAATATAACTTTTATTGATGAAAAGTTTAATTTCTGTGATATTTGGGTGTCTTTCTTCAATATGCACTGTCCAATAGAACCTGGAATATATAATTATAACTACTCAGAAATATTGCCCCAGCTAATGTGGCCAGTCAGTATTGATACAACAGTGCATGTACTGGTAATAACTAATTTATTTTATAGGGTCTGTATTACAGTAAAGTTACTATTTATAATGAGAACGGAGAACAACTTTTGTGTATGATGAAAGAATTTGACATCAATTAGATTAGAACAACATTGAGTCTTCATTTTTATGTACATTTGTATGTTCTGTTTTCAATGTTGCATAGAAATTTAGAGCTCATTCTGATCAAAATTGTTATATTTGTTTCAGACATTATTTCAACCATATTTATCACATTATGTGGGGATGGTACACTGTTCAAAAATTATGCACTTTGCCTTAAAAAGGAGTTTGTCTTGTATACTGACAAATCTGAGTCAAAGACTATAAAGTTTATCAGAGTTACGAAACTGTAAAAGAAGCACCAAAAATACTTTAAATAATTGTTTTGTACTATAAACAGCTTATAGATTATACCTCACAAAGTAATCATAGTTACATTATGAGTGCATTATGTTTCCATAACATAGTTTATGCAAACATTATTAGCTACATAATGATTGCTGCTTTATTTGAATGCTGGAGCGTAGCTTTTAAATGAGCTCTTACTGTCAACATGTTTATTTTGTTAATGTAGGGAAACACATCTTATGAGCAATTTGTTTATCAGTGTAGATAATTAGAGAGCTTGGCTAACTGGAATGCAAAACATTCAAGTGTATGAGTAAAATTCATTATCCTGTTTCTCTCAGTTGGTACTAGTAGTCTTTGCATTGACTGGATCTGCTAATCATTACAAAGGTAAGTGGCTATACTATGTACATGTACAGTAGAGTAGACACTCTCTATAGCAGGTATTAATTCTTAGATTAAAGGCATTCTGTGATACTTATATATACACTGGTAGATGGGGCAAGGAAAATTATGCTAGGGATAACTTGGAGCATAATAGAGCAAGTTATTAATACTGGCATGACTGGTAAAGTTTCTGGCCCTATACCCCTGGCCACATGATTTCAATTCAATATATGGCAGCCTGGTGAGGTACAAGTACTAATACAACAACCCAACTGCTTATTACCCACCCACGCAAGCGTAGTGAGTCAAATGACTTTAAGGCTGTTCTATTTTCCAGTGACTCAAAGTCACTGGAAAGATTTTCAGATTCTGACATTATTACAATATTACTTTTATTAGAATTTTAACAGATGCATGTACATGTAACTTGATAGTTGATATTTGAGTAAAGCTTACACTATGAGCATAGTAATGAGCATAATTGGATTCATTTCAAAGCATAATCGAGTGGAATTTGGGGCAGTACCAAAAAGCATAATTTGCCTATAGCCCTACTGGTAGACTACTAATGACTGTTAACAAGGTTTGGAATGTGTACTTGTACTATGTACATGCTGCACGTAGAGTTGCCTGTATCCTAGCAAAATTATACTTTCAATTCATGTACATTTAGTCCTGTTGCTGTGAAGATTTCATTTCCATTTTCAGATTCTGGCATTATTACAATATTACTTTTATTACAATTATAACTGATGAATGTACCTGTAATTTGATGGTTGATATTTGAGTAAAGCATGAGAATGTATGATTTAAGGTTTCAGGCTGGAGGGTTTATAGGTCCTTATTGTTATTTGAAACAGAGCTAGCTCTGGTCCATTGACAGTATGTCTTTCTACATGTTAGTGTGTGTATGAGCATGTACAAAGTGACACTGATCCTTAGCTAGTCTGTTCATAGCTTTCTCTCCTACTAATTTTAAATGGTCATTGTTTATATTTGATCATCACCTTTTCATTATTTTATTCATTTATTTTATAAGTCATTTTTGGGTGTATGTTGGGTGTATAAAATAGAATCACTTCTATGGATAGAGCCAGTTAGATTATTAATTCATTTTTAAAGTGATAATGTTTGCATAGTAACATGTCTAGCATTCCATAGTACTACTATACATTAACTAACCTTTAGTGGCACTTGTCTAGCATTCCATAGTACATTAACTAACCTTTAGTGATGCCTCATGAGTAAGCAGTTTAGAGTAAGCATTCTGTAATTAGCTCATACCCACCCATGCATATCAAGTACCTTGTTTAGTAAACAGTTTGAAGTCAGAAGATGGTGATCTGGTTCTTTCTATTGCTGCATTATGTATCATGTCAGCCATTCTTTGGTTCTCTTCCTCCACGTCCAAGTACTGGTCAGTTATTGTTTTTATAACATAGTGACTATATTAGGTAATGGTTGAACCAATTAGGTGTGAGGTTGTTTCTTGGTGAGGAGAATGTGACTATTGCTAATTTCTCAATGATAGCTGCTGGTCTGTTTCATGACACTGATATAGATGAGCCTGGTAATGCTGTTGGAGTGAATGGCAGTCCTGATGGTCAGAATGATGGTTTGTGGTGTCAGAGTTCTCTTAATCAGAATATGATAGGAACATGGTATTATCCTGATGGAACAACTGTACCATTGGGTCCTGGTAGTCCTCTGTTTGCTAACAACACTGCTACTGGTCAAATTGGTTTGTTAAGAACTGGAGGAATAGCAAGTGTTCAAGGACTATACAGTTGTGTTATACCAAATGAAGAAGGAATCAATCAGACACTGTATGTTGCTGCTTATGGTAATACTGATTTCCTTATGGATGGTGGTAAGCAAGTTCAATTTAATATTGCATAATTTATCCTTTTCATTATATACAGAACTTCCAACTATTGATGGTAGTAGTTCCTCCTTCCAGCTCCTCTCATCAGTTGATGCTGATCCTCCAGTGTTTAGTTTATCATTTAATGTCACTAATAGATCACCAACAATAGTCACTTGCTCTGTTGATAATGGAAACCAGTTTAATGTATCTGATAATGATCTGATACGTACTGTAACATTAGTTAATAATGATGTACAAGTACAAGTATCAGCAATGTTTAGAATGAGAGTGCCTGGTCTGTATAAATGTTTTGTTACTACTGACAGAATTACAACTACGCCTTTAGTATCTACTAATATGACAATGAGGAATGTTACTGGTAAGTATGCCCTATTTTTTCATCATATTATTATTTATGTTTTCCTTTTATAAGTAACTGGATCTCCATTAAACTTCACCTACAGTAGAGATAGTTTTCTCTCAGTTACACTAGGTTGGTCTCCCTCAGCAGTGATTAGTGCTACTCCTCAGTATCATGTCTTTGTTAATAACAGTAATGGTATTTTTATAAATGATAGCACTACAAATACTGAGCTGTCTCTCTCATTACGTCCTGATGATGAATATAATATTAGACTAGTAGCTACTGGTGAAGACTTACCCAGTGAAATAATTACTGTTACTGTTCTTGAAAGTACATGTAGATCTAAAATTATTTTTATTCATTTATAAATCCTTTTCTAGTTGTCAGTATTGATGTACAAGGGCCAGTTATGATACCATTAGATCATTCTTTTTTCTTTTCATTATCCTGTACACTGGCATTAGCTCCTGAAGTGAATGATACTATGATTGAAATGTTCTGGGCAAGTCCTGATCTCAATACCTTCAATTCTACAACTGATGGAGACATATTTTTAGATACTTTAGAGCCTACAATGATATCAGTTAATGATAGTGTTTTACATACACTTACTCTTAACTTCAGTTCATTGCAAGCATCTCAAGTTGGAGAATATGTTTGTAGAGCTCTAGTGGATGATGGTACTAATACTAGTAATGTCATAACATCAAATTATTCTGTATCTGTTCAAGGTATGTATAAACAAGTCATAATTATATTTACATTTTTGTTCATACAATGTAGTACCTACTCCTGTGGTCACATCTAGTCTCAATACAACAGGACGTATTTTTGAAAGCAATGAAATTCAGCTATTATGTATCGTAATTATTACTTTACTGGATGTTGATCAAACTGTTACCATTAACTGGTTTGGACCTAATGGACTCATTACAATGAATGATGCTAAGTATAGCATTAGTACTGGGGAGATCAACTCAACTACTAATGGAAGTAGTTTAGCATTCACTGCATCTCTATCAGATAATGGAACTGATTACTATTGTACTGCTAGTGTTGGACCTGCTAGTAATGTGAATGGGTTTGAACTGATTTTACCAGCTACTGCTATGTCAACTAATACTACTATTACAGTGGAAAGTAAGTTATCATTTACTAGTTTACACTTTGCAATCAATATTTTTATATGATATATACTTTATTTTTTTTAGTTGTACCTCTACCAATAATTTCAATTACTGATGTTGGTATTCCAGTAACAGGAGATTCATTCCAGTTAGTGTGTACTGGAACTGCACCAGCTAATGTATCAAGTATTGCTACTGTTAGTGTTCAATGGCTTCTTAATGGTACTGTGTTTACTGATGATACACTGGAAGGAGTCACTGTTACTAATAGTGGGTCTATGGCCACATTATCATTCAGTTCTCTTAATGCTTCTACTCATGAAAGAGATGATTATACTTGTGAAGCTACTCTTAGTATTCCTGATGTACCAACAACTAAAATAGCAAGCATTATGCACAGCCTTCAGACTTTAAGTAAGTGCATGTATAATCATATGAATATAATTTTTTATTTCCATTTTAGCTAATCCTGTTGTTATGATACGTTCAAGTCAACCTTATTTTGCTGGTCAAATCTATTCATTAAACTGTACTGTCACAATAGTAGCTGGAGTCCTCAATATAACATGGTTTAATAGCAGTGGAAATGAATTAATGGAAGGAAATGGAATAAGTTTTAATTTGGTGACTGTTTCTGATACTGTACAAAGATATGATTTGATATTTAATTCACTTGACTATTCAGATATTGGAGTATATACTTGTCAAGCTAGTCTTACCGTTGATAGAGGTGGTGGTGATCTATTTAATGGAACTGGATCTGCTAATGCAACTGTTAGTATAAGAAGTAAGTAAAATTAACTAGTTTCGCCATTTATAATTTACATTTGATTATTTAGTACCATTACCACAAGTATCTATATCTCCTGATGGTAATTCTCCTCTTATTCATGGAACTGTTAGAACTGTTAGCTGTTCTGTTGTTTTCACTCCTCCTTTACCTACTAATCCTGATGTCTCATTTACTGTCTTCAAAGATGATGATCAAGTATCATTTGAGAACAGTTCCAGGCTAATAGCAGTTCAGACTGGAACTACTGGTGCTCTTACCTTTCAACCACTCAATTTCTCTGATGCTGGTAATTATACATGTACTGCTACAGCAAGAGATAATGCTAATAATCCATTAATAATACCAAGCAGTGCTTCTGATGAATATATTGCTACTGTACAAGGTAATTTGTCTTAAAATAAAAGCAATTGATTTTTATGCATGTTATATTATTTTATAGCCATTCCTGTTCCTAATATCACATTCACTACTACTACTGGTAGATCACTGGGAGAGAGTTTAACTCTTAATTGCACAGTTAATGTGCTAGATGACCTATACAATATTAATGCTACTAGCAGTATAGTAAGAGATGGAGAACTGATTACTAGTGCTACTGGATCTGGTGATACGACAGCAATGATTATGATTGATTCATTAAGGTCATCTGATGCTGGAGACTATCAATGTATTGTTAATATCACTCAACCTGATATAGACTATGAATTTAATGGAATAGAATCTACTGAAGTGATGCTAACTTGTATGTTGAAATAATTGAATATGTTTTATTTCTTTATTGTTTTCATAGTACCAACTCCTTCAGTTATTGTTGAGTATAATGCTACTGGACATTTAGTAGATGGAGAACTAGCAGAAGGACAGTTTCTTGATATTATGTGTATAGCTGACATCAGTCAATATATTGATACTAGTGTTAGTGTTACTATGAGTTGGAGGAGAAATAACACTGTACTGACCAATGGAAGTGATTTTACTATCAGTCCTCCAGTTATGACTAATAATCAGTACACTGGTGTGTTACGTATTAATAGTTTAAGAGATGAACTTGATAATGGTGCTAGTTATAATTGTTCAGTTAGTGTGACTCCTAATACTCTTTTTATATTAGCAGGAAATGATAATAGCAGTGCAGTTACATTAACTGTATCAAGTAGGTGAATTTATTAATATTCTTATTTTGTCATTTCATTTTTGATAGGGTTTGATATCAATCATATTGATATAAGTATCAATATTCCTTCTGTTCCTGTTGCTGGTGATGTATTCAATTTATCTTGTTTTATAGTTGTACCTCCTAATTTTGTTGAGAATCTTACTAGTGTCAGATGGACTTATGATTTAGAAGCATCTCGAGATGTGACTAGTGAAAACAATGATGCTACACTAGTACCTGTTGTTAGAAATGGAAATATATTCACCAGTGTACTTACACTAGATCCAGTGAAGACAACTGATGCTAGACAATATTACTGCTATCCAACAATTCTAGTATTTAACTATGTTGATCGTACTAACAGAGATTTAACTGTTCAAAGTTAGCATAACTCATTGTTGATAATTTATGTTGCATTCCTTTTTATATAGTATCTCCTCCCAGTGTATCAATAGTTGCTGATCCTCCAACTGGTCCAATATATGAGAGTACAGGTTACTTACTGACCTGTACAGCTACAGTAAACACTACAATAGTGAATACACCAGTAACTGCTAGTGTAGTATGGACTGATCCTAGTGGTAATGTAATACCAACTAATGAAGCAAGACGTCAAGTGATACCTCCAACTGGTAACAGTTTTTTAAGCATGCTATTGTTTCAACCTATTGATACTGGTCTTAATAATGATGGAGGAACATATACCTGTCAAATGATCATCAATTCTAGTAACTCATTAATAGCATCAAGTCAACCTACTGATACCCTTACTGTTACTGTTGAAAGTGAGTTTTATATTGTAAAATAGTGCTATCATTCCTTTCTCTCTTTTCCTTTTCCCATCTCTGTGTCTTATTCTTTTTCTCTATTTTTATTAGGGCTTCCTTCAATGACAGTAGATTTCTCATCAGTTGGTTTAATTGAAGTTGGTCAGAGTCTAACTATAACATGTACTGTAACAACAGTTGAGAGATTAGCTGTAACACCATTGATTACTTTCATTAAATTGAATGATACAGATATGGAAATGCTCTCTAATTTAAATAGGCCATACAGTATCACAACAGATGATACTGGTTCAGTTACTAACTATACTCTAATACTGGATCCAGTGAGGTTTGAAGATGCTGGAATGTATACATGTATGGCTGAGTTTAATGTAACTGGTTTTAATAATACCAATGATCCTAGCACTGCTACTTATGACTCACAAGAGGATAGTGATACCTTTAATTTACTGATAACATGTAAGTTAGCAACAGGAATTAACTGTCAAAATAATAATCAAATTTTTTGTAGTACCTCCTCCCAGTGTATCAATAGTTGCTGATCCTCCAACTGGTCCAATATATGAGAGTACAAGTTACTTACTAACCTGTACAGCTACAGTAAACACTACAATAGTGAATACACCAGTAACTGCTAGTGTAGTATGGACTGATCCTAGTGGTAGTGTAATACCAATTAATGATACAAGACCTCAAGTGACACCTCCAACTGGTAACAGTCTTGTAAGCATGTTAGTGTTTCAACCTATTGATACTGGTCGTAATAATGATGGAGGAACATATACCTGTCAAATGATCATCAATTCTGGTAACTCATTAATAGCATCAAGCCAACCTACTAATGCTACCCTTACTGTTACTGTTGAAAGTAAGTTGTTAACATGTGTTGTACATGTACTTAATTGCCACTCTCCCTCTATTATTTTCCTTTTATTATCTCTTCCTTTCATCAGGTCTTCCTCCAATGACAGTAAATTTCTCATCAGTTGGTTCAGTTGAAGTTGGTCAGAGTCTAACTATAACATGTACCATAACAACAGTTGAGAGATTAGTAGTATCACCAATGATTACTTTCATTAAAATGAATGATACAGATATAGAAATGCTCTCTAACTTGAATAGACCATACAGTATCACAACAGATGGTACTGGTTCAGTTACTAACTATACTCTAATACTGGATCCAGTGAGGTTTGAAGATGCTGGAATGTATACATGTATGGCTGAGTTTAATGTAACTGGTTTCAATAATACCAATGATCCTAGCACTGCTACTTATGATTCTCAAGAGGATAGTGATGTCTTTAATTTAACTGTTGACTGTGAGTTATAAATATTCTAAATTTAAATAGTTCATTTTAAAAATTTAGACGTAAAATATTTATTATTTAATAATTTTTACAGTTCCACCAGTAATTGTTACTATATCAAAGGAACATGATGATACATTATATGCAGGGACACCATTCTTCATTAAATGTGACATAATGTTAGATCCATTAGTTACTATACCAGTGGATGTCACTAATCAATGGACACGTGATGGTACTAATGTTCCTATGGGTTCATCTGATGCTACTATTACTGAGGATCTCAATATGATCAATACGTCACATTATAATGCAACATTGATGTTCAATCCATTGGATAATGCTGATGATAGTGGAATGTATACTTGTAATGTTGAAGTGACTGCTCCTAATAGTTACATGTATCTCAGGAATACATCAGCTAGTGCTAATACTGGTTCTATTACAGTTAATGGTAAGTAAATGAATTCATTGCAATTTTATCTGAAACCTTTCTGTAAACATTTCTGACACTACCAGTATTTTACATGTAGATCTACATGTAAATAATAACATTCCTTTGTATTTTTTCTTAAAATTTTTTTCCTCTAATTTCTTTTTCTTCAAAATCAACTTTTACTTCATTCTTTCAATACAGCTACTCCAGTGCCAGTAGTAGAGATAGTAACTATGGGTATTGCTGAACCTGGTGAAGAATACATGTTAAGTTGTACAGTGACAGTTGTTGATAGACTCATAATCTCACCAGTGATAACATGGACTAAGAGATCAGCTAACAATGCTATTAGTGTACCTCCAGTTCTTATGACTGTATCTAATGTAATGAGTTCTCTTTATTTGAGATTCTCTTCTCTCAATACTTCTGATGCTGGTCTGTATACTTGTGAAGCATTCATTAATGTTAGTCAGATATCCATTGTAGCAAGGAGTAATGACACATCAACCCTACCATTAGAAAGTAAGCATAATGATAACAGTGACTAATAATTTATTATGCATGCATAATTAATTAATGCATTATTCCTTTCATAATTTATTTTATTTTAGTTCCCATTCCATCTGTTGATGTGAATCGATCAAGAGAGAATGATTTCTTAGCCGGCAGTAACCTGATGCTAACATGTGATATCAGTGTTGATCCTAATGTTGATACACCATTCACTGTTGATGTAGCCTGGAACAAGACTGATCAAAAGATCATGAATAGTGATAATTTTAGAAATCAGAGTGATCCTAATTCAATGATGCTTGCTGATACAGATCGTGTTAATATCAGCCCTGTTATAATGAGATCAGGTTTCAATGAGTATAGATCAACACTTAATTTCACTACATTGAGCAGTATTGAGGATTCAGGAACATATACATGTATTGTTACTATAGTACCAGCTCCAGCTTATGAATATGTTCTGACTTCTGATACTAATTACATGAATGTTAACTTAACTGTTACTGGTAAGTAGATTTAACAAGTACCCAAGCAGATTTATTGTGTGATTAACCTAAATTTAAATTGTTTTAGATCCAACAGTTGGAACTTTTTCTGCCTTCCCTGACTCATTTCTGGGTCTGGAGACATCATGTCCTGATTCAGACCCATATGATAACTTCACTCTTACCTGTACTGCCACTAAACTAACCATAGTAATACCAAACCTGGTAATAGCATGGACACATAATGGTACAATAGAAACAGGTACTGTGACTACTACTGAAGAGAGTATGACTACCACTGTTACTAATACATTGAATTTCACCACCAGTACTGCTTCTGATTCTGGTACTTATAGATGTACTGCTAGTATTACTATACCTGATTCAACTGATATTGTTACTAATAGTGAGGAAAGTACTATGGTTATAAGACGTAAGTGAAAGCTAAGCAATTTGCAGACTTTTTTATTATTTCAAAACTATAGCTCAGAGCCTACCTAGTGCTGCAACTAATGTAACAGCTACTCCAGGAACAACTACTGCTGCTATATCATTCATAATACCTAACATTGCCTATACACCTGAAAACTACAGTGTTAAGTATACTGGAGCAATCTTACAAATAACAGAATCTTCCATCATAAAAATGAGTTCAAATATCATTGCTGCAACTAATAAAGAATTTATGATTATGTTGACTGGCCTTGAAGATGGCAACACTTATACATATACAGTTGATTCTACCAATTGTCTTGGTACCACTAGTACTATAGAGATGAGCTTTAGAACACTTTCATCAAGTAAGAATTTTACTTGCATAAAACTTTCCCACTCCCCTCCACTTTCTCAGCCTCAATTTAACTTATCTTTCTCTCTCTCTCTCTCCTTCTCAAATAAACATTACAGTGCCAGGGGCTCCTCCAATGAATTGTGCTAATATAACATTTCTACCAAGTAATGTCACACTAAACTGGACTGCACCAGCACTAATAGATCAAAATGGAACACCAGTTGGTTATAGTTTAACATGTATGAATACTAATGGTGTATCAGTCAATGGATTGAGCCCAACACGATCTTCAACAAACACAATGTTCACTATTACTGATGTTATGCCTTTTACTGGTTACACTTGTGAGCTGTCATTTATTAATGTAGTAGGAGAAGGACCCTCTACCCAGTGTACATTTGAAACAGCACAAGATAGTAAGTTACTGGTGCATTATTGTGCATGTGCATTATTATGTGCATGTACATTTAGTACATAGTAAATTAATGCATAGTAAGTACATTAGTATATGTTTATTATTATTTAAAGTCATAGTTGCATTTTTCTACAATAATTATAGGGCCAAGTGATAGTCCTCAAAGTTTCACTTCAATACCTAATATAACTGATGTCACTTTTACATGGACTAAGCCAGCTACTCCTAATGGAATAATCATTGAATATTTACTGAATGTCATCAATCAAAATACACTGACAAGATATAACTATACAATAGTTGTATCTGTCAATCAAACTACAGTGATACAATTAGTTGATGGTTTCAGTCCATATCAGAATTACACTGCTAGTGTTAGTGCTAGTACAATCATTGGAGCTGGACCAGTGGCTACTACTGCAGGAAGAACACTACCAGACAGTAAGTATATTATTATGATACATTTATTAAAATACAATACACAGTTCCTAGTTCACCTCATCTGGTAGTGTCTCCAGTTGTCATTAATAGTTTAACAGTAGCTTATACTGTACCAGCTCTCAATGAAACTACTATCAATATAACATGGAGTCCACCATCTCATCCTAATGGAGAAATCACTGGATTTATTGTTAGAATAGCTACTGATGCTATTACTAGCCCTAATAATGTCTCATTTGTGCCTGGCAAAGCATCATATTCTCTAATATTTGGAGGATTAAGTTAGTATCTAATGGCAGTAGATATTGATAATGCATATTTTACAGAGATGAAGATACCTTATTATGTTTCAGTTGTAGCAGTCAATCAAGTTGGTGAAGGAAACTCAGCCACTGCTATTGTCTTCACTAAAGCTGACAGTAAAATATTTTATATGTAGATGAATGAATAACTTAATGTTATTTTATGTGCAGGTAGTGTTACAGTATCACCATCAAATGTACAAGCAATGAGAATAGGAGATACAGTAGTGTTATCATGGGATCCAGTGACACTAGAAGAAGCTAAAGGATTCTTTGTATACAGTATCAGATTAACTCCTGATGATGGTAGCACTAGCAGTACATTAAGACAAACTAATACAAGAACTATATCAGTAGCTTATGATACCACATCAGTTAATATAACTGATACTGAACCACAGTTAGCTTATACTGTGAGTATTAGCGTATTGCTGTTGAGTGATGTAGGACTAATTGAAGGGCCAGCAATTTACACTTCCCTAACAAGTTAGTTCTAAAGCTACATTGTGCATGTATAACATTTGTGTACAATTTTACTTAAAATGGTCTATTGATAGTGCCACCTACAAATATCAGTAGCACTGATGATGGTAGTGTTCCTTTGGTAGCAGTGATAGCGCCAACTGCATTAATAATGATTTTCTTTTTGGTGGTGTTACTCATGTGCATTGTTATTATAGTATTATACAGAAAAAAATCCAAAAAGTTTGACATAAGGTAAGAAAATGTAATACTTACATTGCAGTATCTATAATACATTATATAGTAAAGACAATGAGCTCAGTGTAGCACCTAATGCAGGATATGGTTTAGTGACAATTGCTAATGCTTCTGCAGCACAGTAAGAATTATTTACTCTATTAAAAGCTTCTATATGACATTTTAAATAGAAATAATGAAGGAATGTATGAGAGGATCGATGAATACGTGTATGAACCAATAAATGATAAAATAGTGCAGCAAAAGGAAGAGGATACTCCAATTGTAGGAGATAGTGTTGATAGTATAGCAATGGCTAACTGTCCTGCATATGCTACCAGTCTTATTGCTGCTCCAAGTAAACCTAGTTTATGATGTTCACCTCACAAATGTGTTTTTGTTATTATCCTATATTAGTTTCTAGTCCCAATCAAGGAGAGACAAATGAAGAGCAAGATGTTGATGAGTATATATGAAGATATGTCTTAAAGTGCTTTAATTGATTTATAAATTGGACCAAGTGTGATTTAAATAATAATTAATAGTGTTGATGCAGTTTTAAAATTATTTTAAAAAGTTTATGCTATTGCTCACTCACTAATCCCCTTTTATGATAACTCTTGAGTATCAATAGTTCTCATAAGACATGCACAAATTAACACTATGTCTTCTAACAATATTATACTAAGTATTATGTTGAGTAGAAAAATTAATAGAAGACATTAGTCCATAATACTCACACATCCATAATACTCATTACTCACACACACACACACACATGTATTATAATGATGTATAATGATGTTAAATGCTTTTGTCATAACTTTAATGGTGTTTTTATATTGCGAAAATGTGTTGTAAAATTTTGATACGGTCTCCCACACAGGGTAGCCTAGTGACTTTTGTCTTCCAATCATGGCACAGCATAATCTTTTTGCTAAATCTTCCTGAAGTGAAGCACCTGTAATGCT